GGGGGCTCTTTTTAATTTTGGAAGCCTCTGCCTCCCCTCCCTGCAGCTGGCACATCTCCTCCCGCAGAGGAGCATAGGGGGACGGCCGGGTGGGGCCGTTGGCACCCCACACATCATCCTCATAGTCATAGTGGGGCGGGTGCGGGTCCAAGAACTCCTCTCCCTCCCCGTTCCCGAACCGGCCCCGCTTGCCCTGGATGGCAGCCACGATACCCCTCGACACCCCCAGCTCTGCCTGCAGCTCCTGGATCTTGGCATGGCACACCTTATGGTCGGGCCCGGTGCCCCGGTCCCGCTGGACGTCCTGCAGGACTGCCCGCACGGCGCTCTGCGCGTCGTGGGTCTCCCCCATCCATTTGCCAACCTCCTTCTCCAGCTCCTCTGTTTTCAGCTTCTCGGAGCCTAGCTTGCTCTCCAGCCGGGTGATCTCCATCGCGCTCCGCAGGGAGTCCCCGCGCAAGCCCTGCACCTCCGCCCGCAGGTTGTCCACCTGCATTTTCAGCTCGACCTTGCCCTGTTCCAAGGTCTGCACGTTCTCAAGAGCCTCCTTCAACAACTTAGACAGCTCCCTGCTCACCATCAACAAACCCTGCAAAGCCGCACGCTTCTTGCACTTATTGGTGGGTTTGGGCTTTTTGGACTCCTCCGACCAGCTCTCCCACTGCTGGCAGAGCTGCTGGTACGCCTCTGGCCCCTGGAAAGACCCCGGGGACCAAACTGGGGGGAGGCACTTCTGGAGCACAAACTGCTCCAGCTTCCAGTTGCTAACGATGTCACTCATCATCGTAAGGGGAACGAGATCCGAAACGGCTCCTTCTCAGGGCAAAGCTACCATAACACCAGCACCACCAACACACCTGCAGCCCCACCACCAAACCCCTCCAGAAAGGGCCCCCCAGGGAGGTGCAGAGCCTGGCAGCAAGGGAAGGGGGAGGTGGGGATGGGTGGCCACGGCCTGCTGGGCAGCAGCCGCGACCCACCGGCTCCCGGGGAGGGGACGGCGAAGGGATGTGGGAAGGGGTGAAGAGAAGCAGAGGTGTAGTAGGAGCCCGATAATAAGATCTCACCAATCCTTGGCTGGATGTCCTGGCAGTCCCAGGATCCTGGAGATGATCGCCGCAGAGGTCCGGCAGGTTCGGCACCTTTGAGGCAAAGGTGTTGGCGAGGTCCTGTCCCGGTGGCCTTTTATAGCCATGGCAGGTCGTTGTTTGGGGCTGATAACACCTCTGCTTATTCTTGGGTGTTTTTTTTCCTGCAGGTGCTGCATCTCTCCCCCTGCCTTCCCAAGGACACTTTCCTTGTCTTTCCTTATCCTCCTCAGAACTGATTAGGGAGGTTGAAATCACATGGGAGCAGCTGCACTGCCCCTTATCTCTTTTAGGGGGGGGCCAGGATTAGTCACCACTCACTCATGCTAACCTCTGCTTGCACCAGGTGTCCTGAAGAGGGAGAGCTGGAGCCTATCCCCACAGCATCCGTCCTCTCAAAAGCCTCCAAGGGACTTCTCACTTGCTGCACACACCGTTAGCGCCTGGGTTTTTGGGGGTACATCACAAATGGGGCTCACACCTGACACCTGTAACGCACACGGTCCCCCAAGCCCCCCCCTCCAAGCACAAACTGCTTGCTGGGGGGAGACAAAATGGCAGGAGAATTCACACAATTAGAAGTTTTATTCCACTGGGGCTTCTGGACTTCAGAAGCACCATTTTTCCGTGCCACAAACAAACCAGCCCACGGCACACAGACATACCTGGGGGCTACCCCATGATGGGGCCAACTCTGATACTGCACCAGCTGAAGTTCAGCTGTGAATCTGCACCTGCAAAGGCAGACAAATCGCCCCCCCCAGTCTCGTCCTACAAACCATGTCAGCTCAGAGCAGTTTAGAAAAGAAAACCCGACCTGTTTTTCCTCTTGATGAAATTACTCCAGCAGCCACAGCCTTCCCTGGAATAAAAGCATTTCAAAAAATTTAAAAAGCAATAAAATATTCACTCGTAGCTGCTTAAGTCCTGGGGAGTTTCCACCCAGTGGCCTGTTTTTCCCCAACAGGCCCTTATTTCCAGGTTCTGCTGGTACTGGCTGAGTTGGACCAGCCTTGACCAGCCCTCCCCAACCCCTAAAATCAGCCCTTACATCTCAGAAAGCACAGAAGGAATGGATTTTTTCCTTGTACTTTATAGCAGCTGTTCCTGTAGCTTGGCATTTGCACCCAGCTGCAACTACCTCTGCTGCACCGTGGGAGTTCAGCAGAGATGAAACCCCAGCCAGATCCTGCTTCTCATCTGCAGACCCCTTGTCTGCAGAGCCCTTTCTTCTGCCCCAAAGCTTTGCTCCAACCCACCCCGAGAGCAAATACTTTGCTGTAAGAAACCCTTCAGAGGGAGAAAATATAAAGCTGTTGAAAATGTAACAAAACTGGTGAAAACACAGGAAATTAGTGTTGGGGTGGTGAGGTAGCTGGGATGTGGGCTGAGAAAGTGCTCCTGGAATGGGTAAGGAGGAAAGAGCCACAGAGAGGGCACTGAGATGGGACAGGGAGGTGGCTGGGCTGGGCACCAGGGTGGTTGTCTTTTATTTCAGAAGAAGAGTAAATTGTGCAGCCAAATAACACTAATAGGCTGAAATTCAGCGATCTCCTCCATCTTGCCCCGGCCCTGAGCCAAACACTCGTGATGAGGAGCTGCTGTGCCCCAACAAGGTCACCAACAGATCTTGCTTGTGTTAAACAGATCAGTTTAACTTACATCCTTTTCTCCTCCCCAGTTTTCTTCCCAGCACAGCAGCCCCAAACAACCTGGGGATGTTATAAACACCAGCTGCTTGCCTGCACCTTCCCACACTGCTTTTATTATTGTTGGCCATGGGCTGCCAGACAAAGCCATCCCACCTCCAAAATGTTTTCTCCTAGGAGCACCATCCAGTCCCAAGAACATTCTGGCTGCTGCTAAATATCTGAACTGTGATAAACAGCAGCTTAGAAAAAAATAAAATAAAAGTGATTCCTTGTTTCTGCACGCAGACTATTTTTACACTGCAAATATTCCTTTTTCTTTACATATAGGTAAAAGTGCTGCAGGGAAGTGTCCTAAAAATGCTATAATATCCTGGGGAATACTCCCCAACCAAAAATTCTCCTTAGAAAAGCCAATAGATCTGCTTAAACAACCCAGTGTCACCAGCCTTGCAGCAGAATTTGGTGCCCACTGTAATGTGCTCCATGTCCCAGGGTGTAATGGTGACAAAAGCCACCTCTGGGAGCACTTTTGATCCTGGCCAGGAAGCTGGAAGATGCTCCAGGTGACAGCAGCAGTGAGAAAAGGGGGAATGTAGCACAGTATTGAGACTGGGCTCAACTCGCTGACTTCACCATGGGGATAAAGGGAAAACTCACTTGCAGTGGCATTTCTAATCTTAAAAAACATACATATCCCCCTAACCCAAACAAAAATGAAAACAAAAATGAGGTGTTCATACCCTTTTCTGGGGAGGTCCAGATTTGGGAGTGATTTGAAACAAAAGAGGAAAGGTGAGTAGGAGGTAAGGAGGGGAGAGGCAAGGGTTGCTGCACCCCACGCTGGGGGCTCAGCTCTGAAAACAGGAGCTTAACTGCACTGAAATGCATTTGAATGCACTAAATTACTTTCTGGGGGCCAGGAAAGGGTTAATGAGAGATTCAGCCCACCCAAAATTTTAGCAGCTGAGCCCTTGGTGACAAGACTTTTGGTGCTTAGCAACCCACCTCGAGCAGGAAATTCTCTTAAACAGAAGAGGGGAGGGGACGTGTTACAGCAGCATGGAAAAACCTGGTCCAGAACGGACCAACGAATGACACCGTACAAGATGAGAGGCAAGATGAGTTCTTCCTGTTCCTCTGCCAGCTCAAACCCCGGGGGACGTTTCTCACTGTCCCCACATGAGACCCCCCTGGGAAATTCCCCCTTGATAGGAGCCAGTCCTGAGGAGATGCTGAGGCTTTCTGAGGACCACGAGTACCTGCACAAGGCAGGGGGCATAAATGAACCCTGCTTGGCAGCCAAGGGGACAGTGAAAAATAAAAATAATACAGAATTTATCTTCTTTTTTTTTTTCCCCAAACACAGAAATAGGGGAGGCTGCTGACAATAGGTTCACCCCTGTAATTCCACATCATGTAACTTCACTCTTCCAGACCCCAAGTACTTCAAACCTCTCCCTCCAGAAGCCATTTCAAAGCCACTCTGATGTTTTATCTATCATTGAAATATTTCTGCATCTGAGACACGTGCTGTCACAGCTACCACAGCAGCGCCCAATGCAAGGTGGGGAGCCCCAAGCAGAATTTCCTTATTTCTGTGGTTTTTCAGCCACCAAATTTCTTTGAGGTTTCTTGCTCCTGGCTTCAAAGATTGCTGTGATGCCTCCAGCCTCTGCTTTATGGCAAGCTCGTTTGGCAGGCAGCATTTTCCAGGCTCAAAGAGAAACACTTGCTAACGACTCTGCTGAAGAAAACAAACCCATGCCTCAAATTGCATTTTTTTCCTTATTTTGAATTATTTTTCTTTCAGTAGAGGACAAACCAGCCAAAATTCATCCTCTTCTGCTTTTGTTTTTTAACACCTAGAGACAGTATTCTTCATTTTTTAATTGCATGGAGCTAGATGAAAAGGAGGAGGGAAAACTAGGTGATGAAATATGATGGAATCATAGTTAAAAATCAATTAGTTTTCTTACTTTTTTTCACCCTAAAGGGGATCTTGGGGATCCCGTGCAGTGCTGGGGAAGCGCGTGGGGACGCTGCCCTGATGCACACCTGGACTTGGGGCTCAGCACAGCAGAAGCTGCAGGGCTGAGGCTCTGGGTGCTGCCGTGGCAGATGCTCTTTGGCAGCTGTTGGTGAGACATCTGTGCCGAGCTGGAGAAGGACCTCCTGGGGTGAAGCCAACCCCACCACCCACCGGTGACCGGGCGTGGAACCGGGGGAACTGGCACGAAACCCTGTCATTGACTCCATCACGATGGCCCGACCATGGCTCCATCTCTGCCTCTTTCTCCAGATCCCAGGTAAGAGGGACACATCTCTTAAGGGTTGTGGGCATCTAGAATCATTCTGGAGCCTCTCCTCCACCCCACTCCAGCACGTAGGATGTGTTGCAAAGCATCCAGATGGTGACATTTTAAATCTATGGGCACAGTACAGATCTACGGGATATTATTACCTATCACTGCATGATTTTGGACAATAACATGCTTAAGCTTTTGGCCAGCCCTGAAAAGGTCAGGCAGTTGAGATGATCATTCACAGAATCACAGAATCATCCTGGTTGGAAAGGATCTTGAAGATCAAGTCCAACCATAACCTAAATCCACCAACCATAACCTAATCTACCCGTTCAGTGCTTAAATCATGTTGCTACGCACTGTATCTACATTTCTTTTAAACACTCCCAGGGATAGTGACTCCACCACCTTCCTGGGCAGCCTGTTCCAATGTCCAACCACTCTTTCAGTAAAGAAACTCTTTCTAATATCTAGTCTAGGCCCCTTCCAACTGAAATAGTCTTCTTTTTGCCTCACTTCACTTCTCCCTCTCCTCTCCTCTCCTCTCCTCTCCTCTCCTCTCCTCTCCTCTCCTTTCCTCTCCTCTTCTCAGTGCAATATATAATGATATAGACACCTCAGAGTTTGTTTTAGCTGCACCCTCTTAGTGCAGACAGACTGTGGGAAATTGCTGACGGAGAAGTTGAAGTAGCACCTGTCTCCTCTGCCTGTGAAACGTGTAGACAAACCACATCCCAGCAAATTTACTTCTAAATCTATCCAAGGGCTCCATGTTTCTCAAGGGCCACAGCTGGAATTGGTGTGTTACAACACCAGGCTGCCTTCTGCTTGTTGCAGACAGGTTGCAGGAGATCTAGGCTGAATATATACAGTTGGTGTCACAGCAAAATGAAGCTTTACAAGACAAATTGTGCCATCCGTTCTTAGGTGGAAATGGTTGAGAGCTTGAAACCCCCATTAAATATATGTAAGGATGACAGCTGAGCTTGTCCCTGCCAGACATCCTGAGGCACTTCACTGGCACCTATGTACAATCAAAGTATCATGGAATGATAGAATACCTTGGGTTGGAGGGGACCTCTAAGGCATTCTGTCCTTCTCTGATAATATCCTATAGATCTACGTGGGGAGGGGCGGGGAGGGTCCTGCTGACAAAACCTCAATAAATTAGTTTGCTCTGCACATGCAAAGGGAAAAGGGACCATTTTTAAACTGCTACAGGCTGGTCTGGCCAAGCACATGGAAACAAACCCATCCCACCCTGATTCCCTGAGGTATCCTGTGAGAATATACACCAGGTAAGGGAACAGGGAGGTTTTGGGGAAAGAAGGTATGGCAAGGATGAGCTTTTCTGCTCTGACTGTGTCCCAGCTTATCCTGCTGGAATTTTACCACTGGCTCAGAGCTCAGCTGAGCATCCTCTAGCATCCCTTCTCATTCATCTAAAAAAATCTCTCCAATAGCTCAAGGAAAAGGTTTTCCTAGGGTTGATTTTCTTGTGCCCAGCAGAGTCAGACCTCAGGGGACACTGAAGCCACCATGCCCCACAGCCACACACAGTTTACTCCCTAAAAAAACACACGACAGGTTGCCAGAGCAACAATTGGGAAGATTGCTGAAAAAAAAAAACCACAACAACTCTGGAAATCATGTATTTTAATAATAAGTAGACATTTATATTGTCTCAGCACCAGAGGATGTGGTGAAAGGCTGTGGCTGCCACTGTGCAGTGCCAGAATTTCAGCATCGCAGTGTTAGGGCTGAAGTCTGCTCATCTCTGCAGCACCTCAGCAGAGATGGGGGCATTGATGCAGAGACAGAGAACAGCTCTGAACCCCTGCCAGTCACCAGAGCCTTCTTCTCTGCCTGTCCCCCCTGGGGAGATGGAAGACATGAGGGCCATGGGAGACATCAGGGCCATGAGCCAGAGAGATGGCTTCAGGTGTTCCTGTGGCCACACAAATCCATTTCCACACCACTGGGTTTGCAGGGCTGCATGGGGCTGTTTGCAGCCATCACTACCAGCAGCTTTGGATTTTGAAGGAATAGGGGCATTTTAAGGTAAAAAAAAAAAGCCAAAAAAAGTCAAAACCACATGTTTCGTGGAGCGTTTTTGCACAGCTTTAAAACAAGCCTGGGAAACAGACGGGGGAAGAGAGAGCATCCTTATCTTCAGAGGGCTGTTTTTCACTTGGTCTTGGAGTATCTGCATCTTTGTAGGACTGTTTACTGAACAGAAAGGATCACAAGTCACCTGTTATCCTTTTCACAAGGACACATCCTCACTCACACAGAGATACCCTTCACATCTGCCCAGGCCAAACACATCTCAGATAATTTCCATACAAGCTGCAAAGCCCAAACAGGACGATGTGATGCCAAACAAAAGCTTTCAACCCCTCCAACTCCCCTCCCTCCCTCTCCTTCCCCAGGTCTGGAAATCTGTAGAAAAATAATGTTGTCTGAAAGCTAATACCAATTTGGATCATTTTGAGATGTTTTGCATGGTTTTGATCATTTTATGCACCTGAGATGACATTTCCCACAGTGTTACATCTGTTAGAATAAAAATCTGGCAAATCATTTAAGAGGCTCAGAAGAAATGTGTTGAAAGAGGGGTGAAACTTCCCCAGAAATGAGAGGGAAAAGAAGGGCAGGAGGGGTGAAGGTGGAGATGCCCTTCCCTGCACATACTGCCCCAAGGATACCCTCCTCATCCTTCCCCCAACCCTCTACCTCTGAGCCTCCACCCTAGCTGAGTGTTTACAAGGCAAACTCTACCTGTGTGACTTGGCTTGAGCAAAAACCAGCTGGGGACCCAAAAAAGCTCCTGGGGGAATATGGGAGCATCCTGATAAAGATGCTCCCATTTCTCACTTACATGATCCCCTGGTTTGTGACTACTTGGTCCTTTTCAGCTCACGAAGGAAATCTGTGCTTAGTATGGAAGAAAATACTGGCAATAAATTAATAACTGTATATTTCTGTCTTTTTTTTTTTTTTTCCTTAGGCTTCTGTATGAATCTACTTTTATCCCAGACTCCAGAGCATATTTTAGCCCAAACTAACAATAAAACAGAAATCCTCTGTGAGCTGAAGAAGGAGCATACTGGGGTGTACTGGTACCGCTGGAGCCAGGAGAGGCAAAATTTCCAGTTCTTGATGTTTTCCAGCACGTTGGGCAAAGCTGTGTATGGCACAAACATCAGCCAGGAGAAGTTCCGTGTCCACGTGGCGAGTTCCCGCAGCTCCTTCAGCCTGCACATCAGCCAGCTCCATGCCTCAGACAATGGCACCTATTACTGCTCCATCTCCCAGGCCTCCCAGCTCCTCCTGGGCACTGGGACACGGCTCAGTGTGGGTAAGCAGCACCCCCAGAACTCCAAAACGTGCCCCCAGCAGGCTACAAAGAGATCCCCTCGGTGAGGGGTGGTGTGTGTGGATAGAGCATTCTCAGTTTAGAGATGCAGGGTTGGGGCTCTGGGACTTTTCCAAAAAGATCTATAAGACTGGGTAAGGCAGAAAATGCAGAAAATAGCTCAATTCTAGGCCAGCTGCATGTGGTAGTCATTTTGCCACCAGCAGTTGCTCTGCTGTGGTCATGCCTTGAGCACTGAGTTGGTCATAGAATCTTAGAATCAAAGAATGGTTAAGATTGGAAGGGACCTTAAAGATCATCAAGTTCCAACCCCCCTGCCATGAGCAGGGAACCCCACCACTAGACCAGGTTGCACAAAACCTCATCCAACCTGGCCTTAAAAACCTCCAGGGATGGGGCATCAACAACCTCCCTGGGCAACCCATTCCAGTTCGTCACCACCCTTAGAGTGAAGAATTTCTTCCTAGTATCTAACCTAAATCTCCCCTCTCTCAGTTTAAAACCATTACCCCTTGTCCTATCACTGCCCTCTCTCATGAAAAGCCCCTCCCAGCTTTCCTAGAGCCCCTTCAGGCACTGGAAGGAGCTCTCAGGTCTCCCCGGAGCCTTCTCTTCTCCAGGCTGAACACCCCAACTCTCTCAGCCTGTCTTCATAGCAGAGCTGCTCCAGGCCTTTGATCATCTTGGTGGCCCTTCTCTGGACCCTTCCCAACAGATCTTTCTTGTGCTGAGAGCTCCAGAGCTGTACACAATGTTTTAGGATTTCTATGGGAAGTCCCTCAGCCCCTGGTATTGCCATGCCCTGTGCTCTTCTCACCCTCTCTGGTACTTTAAATGAGAGACTGCCTGTGTGTCCTGCTCAGCTCCTGGCTCCTTCCATGCCCTGGTTCTTCCTTATCCTTTCTCCAAGTGACAAGAGCAGCACCAAAGCCAGAGGGCATCACCCCTGGCACCTCTGGGGTGCATCTGACTGCAGCTTTCAAACCTGTCCTTCACATAAGGGATCAAAATGGGATTTATCCCTCAAAGCTCACAACCCACCACCATTGGGGAGCTCCAACCAGAAACCAGAGCTCTCTGCAGGTGGCACGGGGAGAGTGATGCTTTACAGACCCTGGGTCATCCAGCAGCTCCTTTTAGCCCCTTTTCCCCTTGGCCACAGAGCAGAAGGTGCTGTAGAAAAACTAATACATTTGAATTAGAATTAATCCCTTTCTTTGCAGGCTTTTAAGGAGACAAATAACTTATTTAACGAGTTAAAAAGCAGCCCCAGTGCCCCAGCCCTTCTAGTTTGTTTTAATTGTTTTGCAGATATGCCCTGCACATTGAGCTGGCTGAGAAATCTCTTTTGGATTCTTGCTGGCTGAAAGAAAAGCTCGTTTAAGATAAAGGAGAACTGGTTTTTTATCAGCTGGGCACCATATCTTTGTGCAAAGCAAAGCATGAAAAACAGGGCTGAGATTCAACATGATCAAGGACACTCCAATTAAAACTAAACACCAGCAGGTGATCTGGGAGGACTCAGGCTTTGATGGCTATTTTCTTTTTTTCCTTTAGTACACATGATAAAACAAATTGTCTGGAAGTTTCTTTTCTTTAAGCCTATTCTAATGTAAAAAGGGAGAAGTTGTCCAGAAAAATCCCAGACACTTGATTTCGCTCACCTTTTCATGTAAAAGAACGGTGGTTTCCATAGGAACTTCAATCCTGGATAGAAGCAGAAAAAAAATTAGTTTCAAATCACCCAAAATTGTCAATAAGTGGTGTTTGAGCAGTTGGATGTACAGCTGTTTAATGACATGACTGGGATATTTTCCAACTTTACAGAGAGATTCATGCTCTCCATTAAAATTCAGATACACCATAATAAATCTTGCCTTCATTTTATCAGGGAAAAAATAAATTAAAATCCAATTTTTGAGCAAAGAATAGAGCAACCTGACTATGGAAATGATCCAAGGATCCCTTAAAAGCTCCTCAGAGCTACTGAAATCTGCTACCTGCGATTTCACGCAACACTGATCAGATGGTTCCTGGAATTAAATGTAGCTCAAGGAAGTTTCCTTTTTCCCTTTCTTAACCTTCTGCCCTTGCTTGCCTGGTACCTGGTTTTCATTAACACTTTTACAAGCTCTTGGTAACTCCTGTGGGCACCACAAGGTTCAGGTCAAGCTCCCACCCCTCCAGATGACCCAGGACTTTGTGGCCATCCTCAGATGGGACTAAATTTAAAAGCCAACATTTCCAGCCCGTCCTGCCTGCTTGTTTGAGACCTTCACTGCAGTCGGTGCCATATTTACCACCCTCTTCTCCTCCTTATCCACCAGTTGATGTTCTGCCTCTGCCTCTGAAGACCACTCTGGCACCAACCTCCAAAAAACCCGTGCAGTGCATAACCAAAAGCAAAGCTGCCAGCAAGAAAGGTACAGCAGCAGGTTGGCTCAGGCTGTTTTGCAAAGAGGGGTTGCTGAGCTTCTGAGGGTTCAACTGGAGGGTGTCCAGGGGCAGGGGAGGTGGCAACCACAAAAGGACCCTGCCGGGGTGGGCATCCAGGTCTGCCTAGACCCACTGCTCCACATGGAGCTGAATTCTGCTTTTATGAGCAGTTCCCTGGGGTATACAAGGGTTTGGGAGGTACTTCCATTTAGCTCTGCCTGAGCTCTGGTGTCACTTGGGTGTACAGCCCCTGTGGGTGCAGTGTTAGTCCTCCAGGCACGGGAAATTCAAAACAGCACAAAAAGGGTCACTGGGGCTCATGGCCAAGTTCCCTGCAATGCCTTCAGATGTAATACATCCCCCAAGGGATGTCCAGGGTGATGGTCTTGTCCTCCACTCCTCCTGAGGACCTTCCTGGCTTTACTCTCCTCCCCACCCTTCACCCCCCAAAGCTGCCAAGGTGGGATGGTGCTGGGTGCTGATCTGGGAGGGCAACTCCACACCATCTCCCCTCCTCCTCTCCAGGTGCCTGCAGCCCCCTGGTCTGGATCCCACTGGCCACCGGTGCCCTGGTCCTCCTGCTGAGCCTGGTCCCCACTGCCCACCACCTCCACCGTAAGTATCCTGCCAGCCCAGGTGGACAATGAGGGGTGTCAGGCCACAGGACAGCCCAGGATCAGGAATGGGGAGATGGGAGTAGGTCCTGGGGCTGATGGACACCATCTCTTCCCAGGTCTGCGGCGGAGGCTGTGGCTTCGTATCCACAGGCAGTAAATCCCAGTGGCTCCCCCACCTTGAGCAGGCAGGGAGAAAATACCAACCCTTCCTCCACGGTGCTGAGTCCTGCCTGGATGTGACCTGGGGAGGACCTTACAGGATGCAGAATTGGGCTTGCACTGTGAGACAGACATTTCTTCCCTGCCATGGACCACGACTTTAATATTTTTCTTTGCTACAAGAGCTGTCAAAAGGAGCAGGAGTAAACCAAAGGCTGGTTGATCAGACTTGGTTAATGAACACTTTGAGAGCAGACAGCAGGGGCAGGTGGCTGCACAGCTTGTGAAGGCCCTGTCCAGGCATATTTGTTAGAAATAGTGAATATATTCACTACTTCTCAGCCATTCTGCTCTGCAGGCTGGTGTCCTGTGGCTGCACAGGGTGCAAGACATGGCTGCACGACAAGCAAAGAGCCACAGGCTCTGCCTGGGAAGGAGTGAAAGCAGAAGTACAGCTCGGGGGGAGCAGGTCTGGGAAAGCACCTTCTCCCACGGGAGGTTGCAAACAGCCCAAAGTGGGAGAGGAAAGCCAGACAAAGCCAGGCACCCAAGGCCAAACACCTGGCACAGCCCGAAGGCCAACACAACCTCTGAGAGCAAACAGCAGCTGGGGACTGGCCCGAAACCCAGCAGGGTGACAGAGTGACAGCAATGGCCCTTCTGGTGGCCCTGAGTGTTGGGGGAATGCCCTTGTGTGCTGAGCCCTCAGCAACGTCCATGGGCTCAGGCCCATGGGTGCTGAGCCCCAAGCACTGCCAGAAGCAGGACAGGTCTCCCCAGGGATGCTAACGTGGCTCAGCCACTGCCCAGAGCTGCCAGGCCAACGTGGGGCTGGAAATCCAGCACCTGGCCAAGGGCAGGTGGCACTGGGTGCATCCCCAGCCCCTCATCTCTGCTGAACAGGGCACAGGGCTGTGTCAGCTGCAGCGAGTACCACCAGAAGGGGGTCAGACACCTCCTGTCCCCACCAGCACAGGTGGGAAGGACAGCAGCTGTTTTTACAGCTGAAGAAGATACAGGGATCTCCTGTCCTGCCTGTGTCCTTACCTTTCTAATATATTTTTTTCTGGAGAACTTGATCTCAAAAGCAGCCATGGGTCCTCCCTGAGATGGATGTTTCCCCTAAATGACACAGCAATGAAGCAGGCAGGGGTGCAGCCTGAGCTGGCCTTCCTGGGCTGTGATGCCCACCCAGAAGCTCAGGTGACCCCAGGCCCCAGCCCTCCAGGGAAGCTGCAGGAGGGGTCCCCAAGCATCCCTGCCTCCAACACCCCACACCAGCAGCACACTCTGGCCTCTGTGAATGCTTAAGTGAACTAAACCCACCATGTGCAAGGACTCTGTGCACAGATCTTGGCCCTAGGAGAAGAGGATTTGTATGACCAGGACAGCTACAGGGAAACTCCTTTGAAACTTCCATGGGCAGACATTTTTTTTTTTTCAAAACCAAGAGCTTTTCCCTCTGCCTGCAGCTTCTTTTGAAATCCCAGCTCTTGAGGCAACTTGACCTTACTGTCCACCTCTGCTTCACTTCTCCCACCTCTTAGCCAGCACAGGAATTGGCCTCCCATGACACTGGGTCTGGGGAGTGAAAGACTGTAAAAGAGGTCAAAAAATCACATGTTGCAATAATATCTTATTATTATTTTATCATTTATATTCTATACTTACATTCCAAGTATATTCTCTATTCTATAATCTATTTGGAAAATGGACTACAGAATGTATAATTATATATTCTATATTATTTTTTAAATACTACAGTTATTTTTTCAATAAACATGCTTTTCAATAAGCAGGTATATCTTGAAAGCATTCAACTATTCAAGGAGAGCAGAGCAGAAATACGGGTATTTCAGGCATGGAAGTGAATACTCTTCATGTTTTTGTAAAACTTCTGTAAATGGATTGATAAAAAAATTGGCAGCCTTTCCAGAGTGTCTCAGTTACTAATCTAATATTGGTAGGGCTCAATTTTTCTTCATTCTTTTAAGCTGTCCAGTCATTTCTCTGTGGAGGGCCTGAGTTTTTGTCAGAGAAACAAGTGAAATCAAATCAGGTGCAGCTGAAAACTTTCAATTGAAAACAAGCTACTGTCATGAGAGCAGAAGTTGTACCTGACTTTAAAGCTCCTAAATATATAGTTATATAAATATATAACTAAATATATAGTAGTTAGGGATCCCCTCACTACAGCAGAGTGATAGCCCTGGCAAATGTTCTCCATCTCCATATGCCAGCATGTTCACCTTCATTGGAACCATGCTGAGACGTGGGAATCAGGAATTTTCCCTCTTTGGTCTCACGAAGGCTCTGCTTTTGAAAAAGTCTGGTGAAACTGCTGCTGTTGTTTGTGCAAAGCTCCAGAAAGCATCTCCCATATCCACGGGCAAGTGGTCACCTGGAGGCAGCAGCAAGGGTGAAGCCTGTTGGCAGGGCGGAAGCCCCTGTGGTTAGAGAAGAAAACCACGAGGAGTTTAACAAAAGCACGAAACATCCCCCTGGGGCACGGAGCTTTCTGGTGGGTTTCAGCTCACAGACCACCTGCCTTGCACAAAGCAGCTTTTGCCAAAGCAAGTGCAAAGAGAGCAATCGAGCACCTGAAGAACTCAGCTGTGTCTGCAGTGCATGTGCCTGGAGATAACAAAGACGCACCAGGAGGTGCTGCGGGACACCCCTGCCTTGCTTGCTGGGCAATAAAATATGAGCCCTGCAGCCACAGTGCAGGACTTGACCATGACTTCTGTGGAGCTGGAGCTGCTGTGAACCCCCAAATGGCTGGAGCCAGCAGGACTTGGGGGCTGATCCCACCTCAGGCTCCAGCACCATCAGGCTGAACCTCTAGGGAACACATCAAGGCGAGACCCTCGAGGCACCATTAGGAAACAAGCAAAGAGCCACAGGCTCTGCCTGGGAAGGAGTGAAAGCAGAAGTACAGCTCGGGGGGAGCAGGTCTGGGAAAGCACCTTCTCCCACGGGAGGTTGCAAACAGCCCAAAGTGGGAGAGGAAAGCCAGACAAAGCCAGGCACCCAAGGCCAAACACCTGGCACAGCCCGAAGGCCAACACAACCTCTGAGAGCAAACAGCAGCTGGGGGCTGGCCCGAAACCCAGCAGGGTGACAGAGTGACAGCAATGGCCCTTCTGGTGGCCCTGAGTGTTGGGGGAATGCCCTTGTGTGCTGAGCCCTCAGCAACGTCCATGGGCTCAGGCCCATGGGTGCTGAGCCCCAAGCACTGCCAGAAGCAGGACAGGTCTCCCCAGGGATGCTAACGTGGCTCAGCCACTGCCCAGAGCTGCCAGGCCAACGTGGGGCTGGAAATCCAGCACCTGGCCAAGGGCAGGTGGCACTGGGTGCATCCCCAGCCCCTCATCTCTGCTGAACAGGGCACAGGGCTGTGTCAGCTGCAGCGAGTACCACCAGAAGGGGGTCAGACACCTCCTGTCCCCACCAGCACAGGTGGGAAGGACAGCAGCTGTTTTTACAGCTGAAGAAGATACAGGGATCTCCTGTCCTGCCTGTGTCCTTACAGCTGCCCCAGATCCAAGGACCGTGTGGCTCCAGAATCCCCAGTCCTCCCTCCCCTCCCAGCAGCAGGGAACTGCTGCTCTCCCCTCTAATATATTTTTTTCTGGAGGACTTGATCTCAAAAGCAGCCATGGGTCCTCCCTGAGATGGATGTTTCCCCTAAATGACACAGCAATGAAGCAGGCAGGGGTGCAGCCTGAGCTGGCCTTCCTGGGCTGTGATGCCCACCCAGAAGCTCAGGTGACCCCAGGCCCCAGCCCTCCAGGGAAGCTGCAGGGGGGGTCCCCAAGCATCCCTGCCTCCAACACCCCACACCAGCAGCACACTCTGGCCTCTGTGAATGCTTAAGTGAACTAAACCCACCATTCTTCTACCCTGCAAGGACTCTGTGCACAGATCTTGGCCCTAGGAGAAGAGGATTTGTATGACCAGGACAGCTACAGGGAAACTCCTTTGAAACTTCCATGGGCAGACATTTTTTTTTTTTCAAAACCAAGAGCTTTTCCCTCTGCCTGCAGCTTCTTTTGAAATCCCAGCTCTTGAGGCAACTTGACCTTACTGTCCACCTCTGCTTCACTTCTCCCACCTCTTAGCCAGCACAGGAATTGGCCTCCCATGACACTGGGTCTGGGGAGTGAAAGACTGTAAAAGAGGTCAAAAAATCACATGTTGCAATAATATCTTATTATTATTTTATCATTTATATTCTATACTTACATTCCAAGTATATTCTCTATTCTATAATCTATTTGGAAAATGGACTACAGAATGTATAATTATATATTCTATATTATTTTTTAAATACTACAGTTATTTTTTCAATAAACATGCTTTTCAATAAGCAGGTATATCTTGAAAGCATTCAACTATTCAAGGAGAGCAGAGCAGAAATACGGGTATTTCAGGCATGGAAGTGAATACTCTTCATGTTTTTGTAAAACTTCTGTAAATGGATTGATAAAAAAATTGGCAGCCTTTCCAGAGTGTCTCAGTTGCTAATCTAATATTGGTAGGGCTCAATTTTTCTTCATTCTTTTAAGCTGTCCAGTCATTTCTCTGTGGAGGGCCTGAGTTTTTGTCAGAGAAACAAGTGAAATCAAATCAGGTGCAGCTGAAAACTTTCAATTGAAAACAAGCTACTGTCATGAGAGCAGAAGTTGTACCTGACTTTAAAGCTCCTAAATATATAGTTATATAAATATATAACTAAATATATAGTAGTTAGGGATCCCCCCACTACAGCAGAGTGATAGCCCTGGCAAATGTTCTCCATCTCCATATGCCAGCATGTTCACCTTCATTGGAACCATGCTGAGACGTGGGAATCAGGAATTTTCCCTCTTTGGTCTCACGAAGGCTCTGCTTTTGAAAAAGTCTGGTGAAACTGCTGCTGTTGTTTGTGCAAAGCTCCAGAAAGCATCTCCCATATCCACGGGCAAGTGGTCACCTGGAGGCAGCAGCAAGGGTGAA